TGTTCTTCCAAAGGCTATTGTGCTATCTAAAGCATTTTTCTAGCGAGTCATCACTGCATTTCCAGCAATGATTGCGCGACCAAAAGTAGGTCTTTGTTTCCTGAGCCATTGCTGCTTTTCCAACGGTAATTACGCCACTAAAAGCCAGTATTTTTTTAGTGAGTCATCACTGCATTTTCAGTGGTGACTGTGCCATCCACTGCAGGCATTTTTTAGCAATCACAGCTGTGTTTCCAGCAGAGATTGTGCTACAAAAATCATTTGTTTTTAAGGGACACATCACTGTTCTTCCAAAGGCAACTGTGCTATCCAAAGCATTTTTTACTGAATTATCACTGCATTTCCAGCAATGATTGCGCGACTAAAGGAAGGTGTTTTTTGTGAGCCATTGCTGCTTTGCCAACAGCAACTGTGCCAACAAAAGCAGGTGGTTTTTAGCAAGTTATTGCCATATTTCCAATGGCAAATGTGCCACCAATAGTGGGTGTTTTTTAGTGAGACATCCCTGCATTTCCAACGGCAATTGTGCCACCAAAAGCCAGTTTTTTTTAGTGAGTCATCACTGCATTTCCAGTGGTGATTGTGCTACCAAAATCATTTGTTTTTAAGGGAGACATCACTGCTCTTCCAAAGGCAAGTGTGCTATCCAAAGCATGTTTTCACCAAGTTATCACTGCATTTCCAGCAATGATTGCATGACTAAAGGTAAGTGTTTTTTTCGTGAGCCACTGCTGTTTTTCCAGCAGCGATTGTGCCACCAAAAGCCAATCTATTTTCGTGAGTCATCACGACATTGCAAGCAGTTATTATGCCACCAAAGGCGGGTGTTTTGTAATAAGCCATCATTGCTTTCCAACAGTGACTTGGTGGTGGTTAGCAAGTTATTGCTGCATTTCCAACAGCAATTGTGTCGCCAAAAGTATTTATTTTTAAGTGAGACATCACTGTTCTTTCAAGGGCAATTGTCCCACCCAAAGTGGGTGTTTTTTAGTTAGCCATCATTGTTAGCCACCAAAAGCCATTTTTTTTAATTGAGTCACCACTGCATTTCCAGTGGTGATTGTGCAAACCAAAACCCCATGTTTTTCATGAGCTATCGCTGCTTTAACAGCCACAATTGTGCTACCAAAGGCAGGTGTTTTTTGTGAGCCATTGCTGCTTTTCCAACAGCGACTGTGCCACCAAAAGCCAGTCTTTGTTAGTGAGTCATCACCACATTGCAAGCAGTTATTAAGCCATTATTGCTTTTCCATCAGTGATTTTGCCAACAAAAGCGGGTGGTTATTAGCAAGTTATTGCTGCATTTCCAACAGTGATTGTGCTGCCAAAAGTATTTATTTTTAAGTGAGACATCACTGTTCTTTCAAAGGTTACTGTCCTATCCACGGTGGGTGTTTTTTAATGAGCCATTGCTGCTTTTCCAATGGTGAGTGTGCTACCAAAATCAGGTGCTTTTTAATGAAACATCACTAACGGCTATTTTGTCACAAAAAGTGGATGTTTTTTTAGTGAGCCATGGCTGTATTTCTGGTGATGTTTGTGCTAAACAAGTTGGGTGTTTTTTTTGCAAGTCATTGCTGTATTTCCAATGGCAAATGTGCCACCAATAGTGAGTGTTTTTTAGTGAGACATCACTGCATTTCCAACGGCGATTGTGCCACCAAAAGTGGATGTTTCTTAGCAAGTCATTGTTGCATTGACAGTGGCAAATGTGCCACCAATAGCGGGTGCTTACTAGTGAGACTTAAGTGCATTTTATGCAACAATTGTGCCATGTAAGGCGGGTGTGTTTCAGCTGGCCATTGCTGCATTTCCAGCAGTGATTGTGTCACGAAAACCGGTGGTTTTAAGCCAACTATAAATGGGTTTTCTGCCCTACACATAACCTCAAGTTGCCAACAGCATTCTTGGTATGTAAAGAAAAGAAAAGTTTCAACATATCACTGACATAATAACATACAAATGTTGCATATCTGTGGTTTGCAGAAATAACGCACAATGCCAGCGTTTATTCTGGTGAATGGGTTGAAGAAATGAAAAATGCTATTTCCTATGTCTGAGTCAATCTAGTAGATAACAAGTAATTATAAAATGTGTTATTATTCTTTCCAGAATTAGGGTAGTATAACCAAAAGAAGAAATGCTATGTAAACCTCTGTATTAATGTCTCTTAACCTCGCAAATAAGTCGGAAATGTAGCTTTAAAAGGTGGAGATAAATCAACATATCTTATTATATTCATTAAAACAGCTAAAACAATGTTTTATTCCCTCCCTTTGCAGGTCCTGGAGTTCCAGCTGTGCTGCTTCTGAGTTTTGATGACGTGGACTGTGAGCGGTCTTTATTCTCCGTCACATGAAACCACTTTGTGTTTATGTGATGTTTGTGTGGGCAGGCAGATGTGCCTTTCCTCGAAAATGGAAAGCTGTGTGCAGCAATTAAGCATCATCATCTCATTTGTATGAAAACATCAGCAGCTGTTGGATCTGACGCCGTGCCAAACCGCACAGGCAATTTGGGCATTTCAAGATGTGTTTTGTATCGCACTTTAAATATTCATCATCTATTCATCTCCACAATTGTTTATTTTAAGATGGCGAACAGTTGGTACTCCTGTGCACGCTGACAAAGAGGAAAATTATGTTGAAAAAAATCTGTGAAAATATGACAGGCTGCTGATTCATATCCAAGAAACACTCAGCTCCAAGGTGATGCAGCGAGAGCCTCAGATATTGAAGAGTACAGTACGTGTACAGTATAGAAAACCTGCCAACTATGTGGATTAGTGGTTATAAAATAAAAATGGAGGCATGCCCTTCCATCGCTGCAGCCTCTGCTGAATATTTTATGTGATGTTATCTTGTCCATATTGTCTTTATTCTTGTATCACTGAGAGAAAACATGAACACATAAGAAATATCAATGTTTAGGCCTCACACAAGTAATAAATACTGATCCAGTATCGTCCACAAAAGAAGTTTCAATCTCTGATGATTTTTCATTTCACAGCGTACTTCATCTTAGAGAACAACCTCCCTCTGCGGTCGGCGCTGGAGACTAAAAAGAGGATTCAGAGTGAAATCCGGATGATCGCTAATGACAACTTTGGTACAAATAATCTGCACTAATGAACGATATGAGTGTGTTTGCACCTGTCTGTCCTCTGCTTCACCTCTCCTTCCGCTAATGTTTCTGCCTCGTCCTCCCAGAGCTGCCTCTGAAGCTCATCTATCCTCCTGACTTCTCCGAGTCCTACCTCTACGGCCTTCTCCTTATTGTGTAAGCCCATTCCACTTTATTACATTTACATTTTTGTACCATTTACATTCACCGCAGCACTGTGAGCTTGAGAGGACGGCTCAAAGTGAGATGCTTCTTTTTCTACAGGAGTTAGAAATGGAAATAAAAAGCATGTTAGATGATAAAATGTAAATGTAGCACAACGTTTCGCAGTTTAAGAAACTTCTTGAATGTCCTATTACCTTTTTCTGTATGCAGTTTCTGCAAACCAAATTTTATTTCCATGTTTTATACGTATCATATCAATGGTTTTAAAGTGACGTAGTGTCTGAGCTGACTGTCTTTGTGATGTGGAGGGATGGTGTGGCACCTAGGCAAGATGCCTGCCAAGCTGCAGACCACTGTTCTAGAGCAACAACCAACAAAACCAATTGTTTTGTTGGTTGTTGCTGTGTTTCCTGTGGCCCTTCAGCCCCCTAACGCTGCTGTATTTTAGGGAAGGGCAGCTCTTTTCCAGAAGCTTTTCAGCCCCCAAACGCAGATGTTTTTTAGCAACCTGTCACTGTGTTTCCTGTGGCCCTTTAGCCCCTGAACGTAGATGATTTTTGGTAACCTGTTGCTGTGTTTCCTTTGGTCCTTTGG